GGGGGGGGAATACTGTACCATGGGACTTCTGGACATGCATGCATTTTCACCTTCATTTATACAAGACCGAATTCAGCCAAGTTATATATAGTTCGTTGTACGTACACTTGGCACAATCGTTCGTCTGAATCGTTAGGTATTTACATCTATAAGCTTGCACAACAAGTAAACGGTCACACAACATGCATGTGACTTATTTTTAAGTAATGTTATCAGCAGTAAATCAATAAAATATTAATATATATTTCCAAATTTGAATGTTTTCCAAATAGGACCAGAATTACTGTCTATAATACTTGACATGAGTATAGTATACTTACAATTGATTTCTACTTTGATTGATTTTTCATCTCTAAACATTGCATTGATGTGGCTTTTGGCTACACATTTGTAAGTTCCACGATCTGTTCGATCAACATTACTTAGAGTTAATGTCTGCTTTTCCGTTTCTATTTCACCAATCTGGACGCCATTTTCATCAAACCAAGTTACATTGGCCGGAGGGTTTCCACCTTCACCTCTACATACACATGTGACATTATCACCTTCATTTACTATGATAGGACTGGAACAACTGAATGTCACATTTGGTGCATCTGAAAAGTAATGAAACCATGCATGCATGTACGGTAAGTGTTTGAAGTACTATTTAAATAATAAAACACGAGTTAGAGTGGTCTTATTTGACTACAAAAAAGCGTTCGACCTAATTGACCACCAAATTCTGGTACAAAAGATCCTTAGCCTAAATATTCCCCGGAGCATCGCGCGCTGGGTAGCTTATTTCTTAACGAACCGTAAACAACGTGTCAAACTTTCACATGACTGCTTTTCCGAATGGGGAAATCCGCAAGGCGTCCCGCAAGGCACCAAATTAGGACCGTGGCTGTTCCGGCTTATGATTAATGACCTAAAGATCCAAGATGTTAGTAGCTGGAAATTCGTTGACGACACAACCATATCAGATGTTGTCCAGATTGAAACAAATAGTCAAGTCCAAGACGCAGTTACATCAGTTGAAAAGTGGTCCACTGAAAATAAACTCCAGTTAAATGCCAATAAATGCAAAGAACTCATCATCGACTTCAAGCATTCCAAACACGTTTTCGAACCTTTGACAGTAAATGGTAACCTACTCAGTGTTGTAAAACATGTAAAGATCTTAGGTCTGAATCTCTCAAGTGACCTCCAGTGGAACGTCCATATTGGTGAAATAATTAGAAAAGCTAATAAGCGTATGTACTTCCTAATTTTACTAAAACGTTCTAAAGTACCTACTGCGGACATCCGAAATTTTTTCTGTACATGTATCAGGACCTTTTTTAACAGTCCCCAGTCCCTCCTTGTGCCCACGTGCCCCCCCAGTCCCCCCTTGTGCCCACGAAATCACATCCCCCCCCCAGGAAGTCCCTTTTTCCTAAAATTATACAAACAAACCAGCGAAGATTAACAAATAGATAAGCGGAAAGTAAGTTTTAGGCTTTATCCTTTGTCCTTGTTTAACAAAATCGATTTAAATTGTTACGTTTCTCCACCACTAAGTAATGATAAATTATTGTTAATAATATTTTTATTTTTTGGATGCTCAGAATGCAAGAAATAGCATTTCCGGGTTTCAAATTTCAAAAATTATTTGGGGATTATCCCTCCAATAAGTAATGATAAATTACGGTTAATATTCTTCTGACTTTTTGTGCATTTTTTCCTTCTTTTATTTCAAATACAAGTATAGTTAGTATAAATTTTAGGGCAAATTTGGATGCTCAGAATGCAGGAAATGGCATTTCCGTGTTTCAAATTTCAAACATTTTCTGGGCAGTATACCCCCACACACGTGACCATTGCTATCCTCCTCCAATAAGTAATGATAAATGATGGTTAATTTTTTTTTTACTTTTTGTGCGTTTTTCCTTTATTTCAAATACAAGTATAGTTAGGATAAATTTTGGAGCAAATTTGGATGCTCAGAATGCAGGAAATGACATTTCCGGGATTCAAATTTCAAAAATTTTCTGGGGGAGTACACCCCCAGACCCCCCACATTCATGCGTGGTATATTGGCCATACACGTGGCCTTCAGCCATTGCTATCCCCCTCTAATATATTATCTCAGTGAAAGGTCCCTTTTAAAAAAATGCCCCCCCCCCCACGGGAAATCCTTAAAAAAGGCCCTGACATGTATTAGTCCTCTGTTGCAATACTGCTCGCAGGTTTTCTACCATTCCCTCCCGAAATATTTGTGTGATGACTTGTAAAACGTCCAAAAGAGAGCGCTGGCTATCATTTCCCCGAACCAGTCATATGAACATAACCTGCAGAAGTTTCATTTAACTACTTTAAAAGATAGACGTATGAAGTTATGCGCCAAGTTATTCTCGTCCATCAAGAGTTCGGAATCTCATAAGTTACACAATCTTCTACCTCCTTTGCAAGAGGAAAACTACGACATTACAAAGAAGCGAGTCTTCAATATTCCAATGATACGCACTGAACGCTTTAAGCGGACTTTTATTCCTTCGATGTGCAAGTCTTAATACAATTTGACCTTTG